GACTGTTAACACCTATAGTATTTCCATATCAAATAACCATAGATTCATAATTTTTGACTGCCTGAGGAAATGAGAGGCCAAGATCATACAAGAATGTAGGAGAGAATGTTTGACAGATTGGCAAGGTTGATTGAAGGTGCAGCTTATTATCTGGAGGACATTGAAGAAAAAGAAGCATTTCTCCAACCATGTTTCAACAGCAGTTCTACCAGTCAAGAGCTTGAGCAAATCTATGCAGGTGTGCTGAGGATGGAGAGAAGAAACTTTCAAAATGTGCACTGAAGTCAGGAACCGGTGGCTCACACCTGCAATCCTAGCTACTTGGAGGCAGAGATCAGGAGGGTCACAGCTGAAAGCCAGCCCAGGCAAATAGTTCCCAAGACCACATCAGCACTAACCAGGGTTGAAGCAGTGGCTCAACTGATAAGAGTGCCTACCTAGGAAGTATGACGCCCTGAGCTCAAACCCCAGTACCACTAAAAACTATTAGGACTGAAGCTACACTGTAAAGGGCCTGGCAAGCCACACAGATTGATTAGTTATACACCAGAGCCAGCCAGGGAAAAGACTGGGTGTCTGGCACATAGAAAGTACTTTGTGGTTGGAATAAGTGGCCTGTGTCATTCTATGACACTAATTTCCTTGAAGGTGAATATTGGCTTTGGTATGGATTTGTGTGGGTTTGATAAAATTTACCTCCTGAATGTTCAATAGTGTGTTTCCTTTTCTCAGGAGAAATCTGGAGAAAACCTGAGAGAGGGCAAATAATCTGTCAGTCAATGAATAATAAGCTCCATTGACTTACCTTTATTGATGCTTCTGGTACTTGGAGGCTAGAGACTGGAAGGACTGAGAAATCTACTGGAGAAATGGTCTGATGACCCCCATTCATCAGCTCTGCTCTTATTCAGGGAAGTACTTCTTTTTGGGTCCACCCTACAGGTGTAATTCTAGTGTCAAAGGTTGGGCGTCCAGACACCATCTTCAGAATTATGGCTGCTACTGGTTTCCCTGTCTCTTCTCCTTTCTGAGAAGAGGTAAAGACAATATTAGGGCGAAGGAATATCTCTTTCTTGCCATAACCAATCTCAACTTTCCTCACCAGAGCCAGATTATAGTCTCTGGAAACATGATTCAAAAGAGAATCCTGTGTATCATCAGCTCACATCTCAGAGTGGTCATGTTCTGAACCTCACTCACCTTCCAGACAGAGAAAGTGAGGCTCAGAGCAAAGAAATAATCTGATATGTTTTCCAAAGTAGGTCTTCACTGTCACCTTGGCATCACATGTGATTTTCTAAAACATGGTTGCCTCTTTTCCTGTCTATGTGATAACAGTCTCCCTTTTTGTCTTCAATATTGGAAGTGTGGAGACAGCTTTGTCAGTCAGACAACTATTACAGTTTTATTGCTCCTCAGTATCTGCTTTGGAAAACAATCAGTATTCAATGACATCATTTCCAGTGCATGTAGAACCCTTGTCACATGTGATGGTCTTGGTCAGTCAAGTGACTCCTTTCCACTCCCTTGTACTTTCTGTTCATCTTCTCTTTCCAGCATTCACCTGTTCATGTATTCCTCCCTTCATTCATCGACTCATTCCATATACAATTTCTTTATGAGGCTATCAGAGCAGAGGAAGGTGAAACAAGTGGGCTGGTTGCTTTCCCTATGTACAAAAATACACAAATACATGAAGAAAATTTCTGAGGGGCTATGCATATAAAGCCACATGAAGGTATTCTGGAAAAAGGACTTATGCATTTGATACTGTCCTTATGTCACTGGCTTAAAGTGACTAATAGGAGATGTTCCTTCTAGTGAATATTAAGCTCTGATTTGAGAAAGGATTCTTATAGGGAGAGGAGATTAATGGGATCCCTGAGATAAATCCTTTGGCTTCCTTGATCATACAGTAAATGTTGTGTTCCATTGTTGGTATGTTTTACTTCCTTGACTGAAAATGGATAGATTGAAATGTAATGTGTGAGCAAGCCTTAATATTCTCCATTAATGCAAACTCCTGAGTGAGGACAACAGCCCTCCATCTACTTCCTGTGTCCTGTCCTGCTCTAGTCTCCACTCCTTGCCTAAGTTTTCACCATCCAACATTGAATCTGGGATTCTCTGGGCACACATCTCTCATTTCCAGGAGGATTAAGTAATGTGCCACAAGAATGATAGGAAACTGTTAACAGGTCTTGATGGTCAGGAAAAGTACTGAAATTATGTGTCAGCCTGGACCATGTCAATTGTACTGGAGGAAGCATGTGCTAGGAAGGCTGCTGCTGAATTCTGTTGTTTGTGCTCCACACAGTCACATAAAGGATCCTGTTCAGCCGTCCAAATCTTGGGGCCAGGCCTTGTGTCAGTAGTTAATCCTAGAGTTTGTATCATGTCAACACAAACTGAATGAGGAGGACCACTGATAGAAGTTCCAGGCCACTTACATGGCCTCGGGCCATCCTTGATATTTCTCTATTGTCTGCTGCTGAGCAAGGTCTCTGATGTGTCAGCTGTGGCACCTGAGTGATTTCAACTGAATGCAGGACGTCAGGGTGGAAGCCTGGATTCACAGGAGGAGGAACTGATGAGCGGGAAACTGGAATCATGGGAGGAAGGCCTTTGGAACAGGAAGCTTTAGTAGCACTACCAGGGCCCCAATTCCATCTAGAGTCTGTACCTGATTTCAGTGTTGGCAGTGATCGGCTTGGTCCCTATGGCCTGAAACCATAGGAGGAACCTAATTTATCATAAACATTAAGTTCAGTGTGTCACTTTGGCTTGAAAGTGAACCCTCTGACAGGGCAGGTTAGTCCTAGAGAAGAAAGAAAGCTTTTGAATTTCCCCCCATCTTGAAGTGCTATGATGTGTAGACATGCTGACTTTAGGGGTGTGTGTGTGTGTGTGTGTGTGTGTGTGTGTGTGTGTGTGTGTAAGTGACCTACTTTCGAGATCCTACAACATAGAACCACCACAATTCAGACTGCCTGAGCCCTAAAATCTGGGATCATGACAATAGCAAGAGAAGAATGAGGAGGAAAAATGTCAGAGATCCAAGAGATGTAAAATTATCAAGGAGCTTGCACTGTTGAGGGCAAGTGGTCAGTTAATTGGCCCTCACTGTAGAGAAGCAAGACCCACCCTTTGAGGATTATTGTGGGGGCTCCATGCTCAGTGCCTAAGGCTGGCAGAATCCTTGGTTTAGGAATCTTCTTCCCTTTAGTGTGTGGTGTGCTGTGGGCTTGAGCTGAGACCTCTGAGTGCAGGTTTGATGAATCACTGTTCCATAGCTTCCTTGTGCCTTGGTTTATTTATCAGAGGCAGGTAGATTGTTTTCTTGCTGTAGTTCTCACTTTTAATGCAGAACTCACTACTCTGTTTGTTCCCCTGCCTTTCCAATGTACTCTGGGATACTTCATTGACTGGAAATTTCCTTTGGTGGTACCTGACTTTGAAATCCAGGCCTCACATTTGCTAGGGAGGCACCCTAGCACTTGAGCCACACTCCCAGCCCTGAAGTTAAAAAAATGTTTACACTCTCTTATACAGCATTTGAGTATTCTGAATGTGACTAAAATTTACCTTTACTCACTGGGATTAATGCTCTCACATTTTCATGCCATGTTAAGATTATTTTAATTGTAAGAGTAGTTGCCATTTTGTTTCAGGCTCTTCTCGCAGTGAAGAACATCTTCATCTTTTGTATGCAGCCCTGTACCAGGAACAGAAAGAGGGCTTGATGTCATAGGTCAGGGAGTTGGAAAGAGAAAATTGGCTTCATGGTCTAGAGTTCTTAACTCTTCATTACACAGTCTACTCATTTTCAGCCAAGCAAGTTAAAATGTGCCAACACAGGGAATGCATTAATTACATACATGCAGAAATAAGAGTTACATGCCAGCGATATTTTACATAGGAATCAAGATGGACTAAGGCCAAACCTTTATCTACCTCAGCATTGAAGACTGCTTTATCCAAGGCTGCAATAAAATGCCTATTGTAGTATTATACATCTTCCATAGCTTTGCCCAGCCTACTTGGATACACCACAGGGACCGTAAGTCTCTGTGTTGAGTTAAGAGCAGGTAAGGATGTAGCTTTGGGATTTTGCCATCCTCTGGTCCCTCTCCTTCAATGACTGAAATGACCGCTCCTTCAACCCTGTTGTATTTGGCAGCAGGGAACTCTTACCCTGAGTCAGTTTACGTTTCTTACCTAAACAAACTTCCAAAATCATGATACCTTTTTTCAAGACACTGCCTAAATGTGTCTTTATCTTAAGCCTCTTCAGAGAATTTCATTATAGAAATGTTACAATGTGATTGCACCAGCTGTATGCATGGAAAAAACAAGTACTGTACAGAAAATAGCCCTAAAGTACTGTGAATTTGAACCTCAGAGAAGAGAGGCTGAAGAATTTGAGGTAGGACATGGAAGAATCAGAAGCGTATGCTGCCCTTTTTGGGCATCTAAGTATAATGGGAACATGAAGGGTGATGTGGTTGTGGTCTTAACCACTCATATTACCAAGATTATTTTGCTTTTGTAAGTTTTCAGTTGTTTGTATTTTCATTCATAGAATCTAACACAATGAAAACTTTGGGTTTCTGCTGGTACTGTAATGCTTTTGTGCCTTTGAGAGTATCAGTATGTATTTAGTAAAAGTTTTAAATTTTGATTATTGTGTCACGTTCTGATGTTCAGAGGACCACAACTTTTGAGACCTTTGGAAATTCATTAAATGAACATAAATTTTTGACATTAAAGGTGATGTACAACAACTGATAAAAGGTATAGGAAACTGTTCAGTGAAATAATCAGACTAATTCTGAAGTACATGGAAAGATCTGCACATCCATGCACAGGAGGTATCTAGATGCCCTGGTAGATGTAACTAAAAAGTGTCTGTAAACACATGACTACAGTTGATGGCTACTACCTTAATCCTTTCCCTACTTTTTTCATCTTATCCACTAAGTTGTTTTCTACTGTTTTAGACAATTTAGAATTTGAAAAAGTATTAGATATATTCCATATAAAAGCCTTTTTTGACAGTGGTACTTCCTCTGTAGATGAGTCCAGTGTTTTATCTGTGATTGTTCTGGTGGAATTACAATATTAGGCCTCCACAAGTGGTTCAAAGAATCACTTCTTCCAATTATTTTTAATTGCTTTTTGGAATTTATTACACCTATTACACTTTGAAAAGTAGTTTTGTTCATGAGTTTGAAAGTATATTTTTGAAATTACAAAATTGTATATACATCTAGTATGATGTGATGATGTGTTGAAATCCATCTATTTCTAGGGGAACATGCCACATTTCTGCTCCCCACATTTTGCTTTTACATGCTAAAGCAAAAACTAATTTTATTTGAATGATCCTTCATGAGTCTTATTTAGCTTTGAATTTGGGTTGGTCTGTAGGAAACCAGATAGAAACTTCCAAATGTCCTCTCTTGATACAGTAACTATGGAGGAGCTCAGTTTCAAAAAAAATTGTTGATAAGAGATATTAGATATTATTTATCATATCAACTATTATTCACCAGGAGTGTTTTTCAGATTGTCTTACTACTGACTCCTTATGGTGAACATTGCAGAAATGTGGAAATAATCATAAATACTATATATACAATAGGATATTGTTGGAATAAATTGCTTCAGGACACTTTCCCCTTTTTACAGTTTATATTTAGTTTGGTGAGGTTCGTCCCATTAGCAGTTCTACAATAACTGTAGACAAGAAACTTTTACTCATGCATTTATAACATTATTCAGGCAGTCTCTTTTTCATCTGATATTGCTCTAATGGGGACTAAGTAGAAGGAATTTGTTAGTAGATTGCTACAATCCCAGTGTTTAACATGTAATTTTTGTGACTATGTTCAGCTTTGAACATAATGTCAAAATTACTATGATGTACCTGTGAGTATAGATGGAGAATGAGAGTGTGATAAAAATGAAATGCATTGAATATGCAGAGACCACATCAGCATGTGAGTTTATTACACAGAGATTGTTTCCACTGCTGTGACACTCACCATTCTTCTCACAAATGTGTGTGGGACATATTAGGAGCCCCTGACCTTTGAGGATGTTGCTGTGAACTTCACCCTGGAAGAGTGGGGTTGCTTGGATCCTTCCCAAAAGAAGCTCTACCGGGAAGTGATGCTGGAAACCTACAGCAACCTGTACTCCATAGGTAAATGTGGCATCATTACCTTATTCAAATATGCACTGCTGTTTTGGCTGATTGGTGTTGTTGCCTCATTGGGTGTTTAGAAAGGGACAGGAATGGTTAATATACATGCAAGATCATATTATGCTATAAAAATAGCTGAGATCTCAAATTTTTTTAAAATTTTGATTAAATACTAATGATTTCTCTCTGTCTATATCTCACAAACAAAAGCAGAAAATGTAAATTTTGAAGAGAACTTCAGGAATCCCAGAAGAAATATGAGGTAATTTCTACTCATAACCAAAACAATGAATATCAGATGTGGCATAACAAGAAGTTTGAAAACCAAGGAAATGAGATCCCACCTTCCAGTTCTAAATTGCTGAAATCAGTGAAATGTTTCTCCAACATTGAAAAAATAAGTTAAGCATCCAGAATCAGAAAATTCAAAAATCTGACATGTGATATCATTCATAACATCTTTTTTTCCAAGAAGTCACAAGAGACATCGTCCAATTGCTCAATATATAAAAATAACCCCATCTTTTCACAAACTTATTTAACTATATTATGTCAAATTCCATCAGAGTGGGAATATCATGTGCCCTGGCTAGACTGATAAATTTTTCACCCTATCTCCTCATGTTCATTTTTGTATTTCACCATCCAACATACTTTTGATCCAAGGCATCTCAGTAAGCACTTTAAGTGTATTTCAGTGTAGTAAAACTCATTCAGTGTTGTCAAACACCTAACATGGAAATAATATTATGGAAACAGATATGAACACCAGTGTTTTGATAATAGCTGTCCTCAGGTCCAGCTCCAGAACATTTAGTACATTTGTGTTCATAAATCCTTACAGGAATAAAACCATCACTTGTGTTAATAAATCATTAAGAGGATAACAATGGTAATCTGTCTCTTTTTTATAGACCTGAAGTGTTAGAGAGCCTGGATGAACATAAAGAGCATATTCAATGTGGAGAATCCTTTCAACAGACTCTAGAGAACATTGTAAGCAAGGGAACTCCGCTTAGAATAACACCATGTAAAAGTAATACATATAATGCTTATGGGAAAATCTATGCTGATTGCAAGACTCTTGTAGTCCATGAAAGGACGAACAATGTAGTGAAGTCTCATGGATGTAAGCAATGTGGAAAAGCCTTCACACAACATGCTACCCTTCGTATTCATCAAACAACTCGCATTAGAGACAAACCCTATGGATGTAAGCAATGTGGGAAAGCCTACACTTCTTCCAAGATGCTTCGTATTCATGAAAGAACTCACACTGGAAAGAAACCCTATGGATGTAAGCAATGTGGGAAAGCCTTTACTGATTCCAGTAGCCTTAAAAAACATAGAAGATCTCACACTGGCGAGAGACCCTATGCGTGTAAGCCATGTGGGAAAGCCTTCACTTATTCCAATAACCTTCGAAGACATGAAAGAACTCACACTGGAGAGAAACCCTATGGATGTAAGCAATGTGGGAAAGCCTACACTTCTTCCAATATGCTTCATATCCATGAAAGAACTCACACTGGAGAGAAACCCTATGAATGTAACCAATGTGGGAAAGCCTTCACTTCTTCCAGCTACCTTCAGAAACATAGAAGAATTCACACTGGGGAGAGACCCTATGTATGTAAGCAGTGTGGGAAAGCTTTTACTCATTCCAGTCACCTTCAACTACATCAAAGAATTCACACTGGAGAGAAACCCTATGGATGTAACCAATGTGGGAAAGCCTTTGCTCATTCCAGTCACCTTAAGAAACATAAAAGGATTCACACTGTAGGGAAACCCTATGCATGTAAGCAGTGTGGGAAAGGTTTTACTCGTTCCAGTCACCTTCAACGACATCTAGGAACTCACACTGGAGAGAAACCCTATAGATGTAACCAATGTGGGAAAGCCTACACTTCTTCCAGCTACCTTCAGAAACATAGAAGAATTCACACTAGAGAGAAACACTGTGCATGTAACCAGTGTGGGAAAGCCTTTGCTCATTCCAGTCACCTTAAGAAACATAGAAGAACTCACACTGAGGAGAAACCCTATGCATGTGAGCAATGTGGAAAAGACTTCACTCATTCCAATCACCGTCAAATACATGAATCAACTGACACTGGAGAGAAACCCTATGCACGTAAGCAATGTGGAAAAAATTTCACTCATCCCAGTGACCTTTGAAGCCCTGAAAGAACTCACAATGGAGAGAAACCTTTTGGATGTAAGCAATGCGGAGAAAGTGTTCACATGCCCCACTACACTTAAAAGACATAAAGGAATTTCCACTAGTGAGAAAACCCATGGATATGAGCAATTTCCAGTGACATTAACAAATGTGAACTCACTCTGCAGAGAAACTATGAGTGTAAGGAATGAGAGACAATCTACACTCTATCCCGTCATACTCATCAAAAAACTCACACAGGACAAACCCAATGGATGTAAACAATGCGGAAAGCATTCCTCAGTTCTAGTATCCTTCATGCAGCTGAAAGAACTCATGATGTAAATAAATACTAGGGACATGGAAAATGTGGTAAAACATTCACATATGCCAGTCTTGAAAGACATGAATGACGTCAGAAACCCCATCAATCCATATGGGAATCCTTTCACCTTTTACAGTAATCTCCTCTGAAATGACACAGTGAACATTATACATGTGCATCATGTGACTAAGCCTTCACACAGTCCAGTGCTGCTCCAAAATATACAAAATTAACAGTAGAGAATAATTGTATAAGGAAAGCAATGTGGAAAGTCTTTACTCATTTCCATGACCTCAAGCATGAAAGTCCTCACACTGGAGAGAAAATCTATAGGTGTAAGCAAAATGAAGCTGTCTGTATTCACTCCATTCACCACCAAACAAACGAAATAATACAATCTGTGCCACACCTTACAAGCATAACATACATGGGAATGTCTTCTTTCATTCCCTTTACCAAGAAATACATGCAAAGTATCATGTTGGAGCGTAACTGTGTATTGAAGTAATGACTGAAAGCCTTCACTTATCCTGCTTCCTTTCAGCAATGAAGGAAGGAAGGAAGGAAGGAACTCCATTCTTGCACTCATGAGACTGCCCAGTTTGTATAACTTTTTGTTAGCAAAAGCATGCCATGTCACTTGCTTTCCTCCAGAGATATAATGAAAGATGATATGAAGAGAAAACTTGCCTTAAGCTTTTGTGTGTGCAGGGAAGGGACTCCACCTTCAAGCCACACAACCCATCCAGTTCATTGTCTTTTAGTTATTTTGAAGCAAGGGCCTATGAACAGTTTGCCCGGGCTAACCTCCAACCATTATCCTTTATGTGGGTTGTATTTCGATAGTCTTGTTCAGTTGTAAATATTCTATGGTCTGTAAGTAACCAAGTAGAATCTTCCTATTGTCTCTTGGTACAGTCACAGGAGAGGTGCTCAGTTCCTTTTTTGTCATGAAAGAACTCAACACTGGAGACAATCCTTATGGATATGGAAATGTGGAAAAGCATTCACATACTTGTGCTAGCTTTGTAGGACTCATAACAGGGGAGAATTTCTATGGATATAAGTAATGTGGGAAATTTTTTTTAATTTTATTTCCAGTGATCTTAAGAAACATGAACAAACTTATGTTTGAGAGTAAATATAGGAAAGCAAGATGGGAAGTCTTCACTTATTCCGGTACCATCAAACCATGAAAGTCCACACTTCAGAGATAACCTATAGCTTTTAGCATGTGAAAGTGCAATTCACCTCTACCATAATGAGATAACTCACAGTCAAAGTTGTTATACATGTAAGCCATGTTGAGATGTCTTTATTCCATTATACGAATATACATGAAATATATCACACTGGTAAGTTCAAACCCCAGTATCACAAAAAAAAAATAGTGCGGTGCAGACCCAGCTTGTAACAACATCAACAAAAGAATCCCAGAACCAGTGTCTCATACTTGTATTCCTAGAAAATTAAGAGGCACAGATGTGAAGGATTGCAGCTCAAAGCCACCTCCAGCTAAATTGTTCATGAAACACCATGGTAAAAGGACCATCACAAAAAATTGCTGATGGACTGGGCTCAAGCAATAAGTGCCTCCCCAAGAAGTGTGATGTGAGATCAAATCCTAGTGCCCCACTCCCCACAAAACAAGAATTCCCTGTGTTTTATTCTAGTCCCTTTGCATATGCATATATGCATGTAAGTGTGAGAAGGGCAAATATATGAATATACATGTGGATTTCAATGTTCTATAGGGAGGCAGTAATGTGGGCAGATGTCTGAAATCATAGCTTGTCATGAGACTCACAGAAAATGGACACATGACAGAAGTCCAAAGAGAACCAGTTCTATGGATCACTTTACAATTTCCACAGGGCAAGAAGTAAAGAACCTGTTAATAGAGTAAGTCACATATACAGCCCTCAAATTTTTTCTCATGTACATGAGTGTTGCCTAAAATATGTCTTCTGGACAGGTTTCATGATCCATGTGATAAAGCACTTACCAAGTATGCATAAGATCGTAAGTTCATTCCCCAAATGGTGAAAAAAATAGGAAAGTGCAACTTGTGGTTCTTCTAGCAGTTGGGATCACTTTATAGGCTGAGCTCACAATTTTATAATAAACTGTACCTTCTGTGTTGCTTTTCTGGTTCTCATTTCCTCCTAAAATTCATTTCTTGGCAATAAGTAGAACCTTCAGCCCCTTCCATAGAGATTGCTCTTTCTAGATCCACCACAGCAACTTTCGTTTTATGATTTTCCAGAATATTGTTCTGAAGCACCATAGGGGCCAGAATTTCTACCTCCAATTTTCTCCAATGCATGTGTCCAAAATTTGACAATTTATTGTCTTAACTGCCAAATTTGGCAGTCTCTTACCACTGCTAAAATTTCTTCCTTGATTACCAATTCAGTGTAGGCATCCCCACTGCCACTATACCAAACATCAGCATGGGTTACACCAAAACCACCACCATGGTCACTGAAATTTCTTTTGTTGCCCAAAAGAATCATTGCCATCAAAGCCATTTCTGTAACCAAGGGCCAATGGCCCATGCCTGTTATCCTAGCTACTTGAGCAGAGATTGATAGGGTTTTGGTTCAAAACTAACCCCAAATAGATTATGAGCCCCTTTCTTTATCCCATCACACACACACAAAAAAATTCTGGTGGAATATCTCATGATGAAGTCCCAGCACTTCAAAAAACAACAACAAAAACCCCACAAAAGAAAAACAAAATACCCTTAGTGACCACACATATTCCAGAAACACTTCATCCAATTTGTTTGAACTAATTAAATATATTCTGTGTTGACAGGGCTTCCTTATATCACAGTTCTGACTATTCACAGCATAGTATTACCTTTATTTATTTTGACAGCAATGCCTATTAAACACAAGAGCTTTGCTCTTCCTAAGCAGACAATTATCTGAGCCAGGGCCCTAGCCATTTCATGATAATTTAGTAATTTTTCAGGTATGGTTTCCCATTTTTACCCATTGCTGCCTCAAAATATGCACCTCCACCAATACTTTTGTGTATCTGCAATTAGAGGCACATGCTACCATGCTGACATTTTTGCAAAAAAAGTGCCTTTTTGCTTTGCACCCATGAATATGATTTCATTCACTTCTCTTTTGCCATCCTTGAAGAGATCATCTGATGTTCTGTGGTTTCTTTAAAGAAGATTGCAAATTTTTATTTGGTGGGATTTGGGTTTCAAATTAGGTCTTTACAATTGCAAAGCAGGTATCCTGCTACTTGAGCCACAGTTCCAGTCCAACACATAGATGACTTGGGTTCTGAGAACCTCCTTAGACAGCTCTGCCTCTCTGCAGACCTCTTCATTTGACAATTAAGTGTGTTCATTCTGAGGGAGAGAATGAAAAGAGAATAATCTGTGCATGTATCACATGTACACCTGCATTGAAAAAATATTTAAAATTTTGGGGAGAAAAGAGGTTAATAAAAAGCACACAAAGAGTGTTAAAGGAATTAAATGAAGTCATACCAATGTCTTTTTCTACATCGGGCATAGTGGTGTTTGGACTGGAACCTCACACTCGCTAGGCATGTGGCCTAACAGTTAAGCCACACAACCAGGCCCCCGAATCTCATTTTTGTTCTCATTTGTTATCACACACACATGTCCAAAATGAAAAATTTCAACATTGTACTGGGTACTTTTGTTTTCTGTTTTGCTGGGATTTACACTCGGCCTTATGCTTGCTATGAAGGCACTTGACCACTTTAGTCACGCCCCCGCCCATTTACAAGTGCACATAAGGAAAATGATGAAAGAGCAACTGCATGGACGATGGCAGGGAGGGCTCAAGAGTATTCCAAGATACCTGCACTGCTCCTGCACCTGGATAGTGATATTTCACAGTGAGCAAAAGACCGGGAGTGTGGCTCAAGGGGTAGACTGCCTGCCTACCAAGTGCAAGGCCTGAATTCAAATGACAGCATAACAAAAAAGTGGATGAAGTGACTCCCAGCTACTGTGGAGGCTCTGGCCAAAAGATGACCAGTTGAGTTCCAACTGGGGCCACTTAGTGAGATCCCATCTCAAAATAAAAAGCCTAAGCAATGTAGCTCACCCCTATAAAACACAAAACATCGGGCTTCGTCTGACACTCCCGAGATAATATGGTCATTCTATGAGGCTGGGTGGGAAATTTCTTGAGTGGCTCAAGGTGAATGTTATTCTTAAGGACCGGGTTGAGAGTTTCCAGTAAGCCACCTGGGATGAGGAAGGTTTCATGTGGCTGCCCAATATTCAGTCTAACAACCAGGATAATAGGCTTCTGCCACCAGCATGCTGTTCATTCTATAATAGTTGAAAACACATAAACCATATTTCCGGGAATGACCATCCCCATTCGTAATGACCACAATAAGTGCTGGAGTTCTCAGAAACCGAGTACAATATTCCTACTTGAGTTTTACCACCCTTCCGCTAAGGGGTGCACCTTTATTTTCTTTTGCTTTCCTTTGTGTAAATAAACCTGCCCAACCTTCCTATTACATCAGCAGCAGCCCTCCCCTGTATTCAGTTGCCTACTCCTTCTCTGTCATAATAAGCCTCTTCCTTATCCTATTTTTTCTTCGCGAAATTCTTTTACCAAGAATACCAAACATCCCCAACCCTCTCCTTGTATGCCCTTTACTGTTTGTAGAAATGCA